TTGCCAGTGATATCACATAATTACTGTGTCTTCCCTGGAACAAAATTGATTTCTATCTTCCTAAAATAACTCGTTCGTATTCTTAGTTATCTAATAAATGATGGTAAGTCCGTTTCCCTCCTTATGGATACATTCAAAAAAGGGAAGACGACTTAACACAGGATACCAAAGACATAGAGAAGGACTCTGCTAGTCACAGTCCCCCGGAAAGGATGACATGGCTTGTTTTCTACGGGGGTTAAGAAACAGAGCGCCTTAAGGGACATCTGTGTAGTTCCCACACGCACACACATACACACATTTCCCTGCAGATGATCTTGAACATATAATGGTCAGTGGGTTTCTGCTGATGGAACATAAGGCTTCCAAAATTACTTGAAACATCAAATTATGCTCAGGACTTTGAGGGGTGGATACCCTATGTTCTGTTTAATGTGTATGTTTCATTGCATATATTTTTTGACCAAGTATATCTTTATTTTAATAACAGGCCAAGGACTAAAAACACTTTAGAGAAGGGCTATTTTTCTACCTCAGCAAAACTACAGAGGACATGCTAGATTGTTGGATGACCCCAAAGCCTAAGTTCATTCTATTTAAAAGATCTTAAACCCTTTTTAAAAAAAAAAGTGGAGTGGAAGAGGGAAATACAATCTTTTCTCTTTTGGAGTAATTATGAGAGTCTCCCTACGAGCATAATGGTGTTTATTCTTGGGTAAAATGAATTTAATGTTTTGTCCATTTTTCCCACATTGACAACATGTTTTCAAATTTCTGAGTGTTTATTAATACATTTCAACCCATCCATATCTATACTCTGACAGACTCGCACTCCTTTCAAAAAGGAAAATGTCTCTCTACAGCTGCTAACGTGCTAACCACCCCCAACCTGAACTGCGTGTCTTTCACCTTTAATGGAAAAAGAAGTGGTCCACATGTAGACAGCGAGACTGACTGTTGCTGTAGACGACACTCAGCTCTAACAGCCACCATCACACGTTTGTTTTGCTGTGTGAATGCATCAGTGTGTGTTGAATAATAAATTTTTCCCCTTGCAACAAGGCAGTTATAGCCTTGGAAGGGCTGCCTGAGAGCAACAAGAATGGGTCCACTTCCAGTCAACTAGTCATAAGATGACCTCAACGGACAATTCTGTCACAAAATATATTATTTGAAAAACTAATTCTTAAAGCTGATTCTAATTCCTCCCCCCCCCCATAAAGCAAATATCTATAAGAGATATTCTTAGCATTTAAACATTTTCCCCAAAACTCTGGAACACTTAACACCAATAAAATCATCAGAATTCACAAGAAAATGAAAAATATCCCAAAGATTTCTGACGTTTAATGCCTCCTATCAGCAAATACACCATCTGGTAGACTCAGGCACGGATCATTCAGCTTAAATAAAGCTGTCTGAAAGTTCTTCGTTAAACCAAACATTAAAAAATGAAACTGCTTCTGTTAACAATGAATGGAGCACAATAACTCATTGCTGTTAAAGCACAACTGGCCACTGACTTTCCGCAGGCCAGGAGGGAAGCAGAACGCCTTGCTCCCCCTGGAAACTTGATTGGCATCTCTTTGATTTTATGCTGCAGGTTGTGTGGCTGAAGCATTACATACAGCAGAACATTTCAGACACTCATGCTAATGGTGGTAAAAAGGATCATCTGATTCTTATTTTCGTCATCCTTAATAATCTTTTCTTTTTCTAAATCTTCAAATAGATCTGTAAGTTTTAATCACTAATTTCACAAATATAAATTTCCCCACCATTAATCATCCTTTTTCAAAATCCTTATGGAGTGAATTACTAGCTGACAGGGGACGCCAATTCTAGTAAGTGAATGTTACCCAGCAGGGATATAAAGCTGTCAACACCACGGTGCTCTTGCTTGCTCTAAACTCTCTCCCAGCCTTCATATGTTTTTTAAAGAGATATTAGCCTTTTTTTTTCCTGAGGACCTTCTATAAAAGCTGACTGTCATACACATCTGAGCACTTATATTTTATTACGTACATGCTTTAAAACACTGCTTAGATAAGAGCAAAAACATCCTAAAAAGTGTTGGAAAGACAAAGCAAAGTTGACCTCTTTCTTCCAGTCTTCTAAAGCTAACCACATTGTAAACAATGCACTAACTTTTAAGTCCCCTATTAAAACAGAACCCTGAAGGCTGTGATAGTGTATCTACCACCTCGACTAGTTAAATCCAGACACTGCAATAAAGCAAACTCTCTCTCCCTAGAAAAGTAGAACAGAAAAAAAAATTACTGTTGCAACCAATGCATTCAGAAACATTTATTCCACTCACTGTTTACCAAAAGCAATAAGATAAACTGCCATTTAGCAACCAATTAACCTAATGATTTCTGCTATTTTTAGGGGGGAACTCACTCAAGATTAACAAATACATCCTCCTAAGTTTTTAGCTCTGTTTTTAAAAACATATTATTATAGTCATTATTATAGTAACCTTTTCAACATTGACAAGATTGCAGTATATCTGAAAATGGTAGTAGAAGATGTAGCACTACAAAATTTGTATAGTTGTCTATGCTTATTAAATTCTTCATAAATAAACTTTAAACAAAAGAAAGTAGTGTGGTAGAAATATAATCTATTTATTCCCCCCCAAAAAAGTTTTTCAAGTATGAAAAACTGCTAACTGGAAATATATTTTAAACAAATTTAAATTTATAATGTGCATTTTAAAAAGATTTGCTTTTCTCAAAACTGTGTGATTAAAAGTTATAATAAAATGAAATTATTAACTTTTCAATGTACATTTAGATTTAGTATCTAAACTTAAGTCCCCAATGTAATCATTAACATTCGACAAGAAAACTTTGTATTATCAAAATTTTATGTTCTGAATTTTACATTACATTTTAAAGCTTTCTAAGTTAAAATATTTCCAACCCATTATGCTATATAGAGTAAAATATTTATTTTAAAAAATCTTTAAAAATCCACTACATGTAAACTATTTTAACCACTTTATTATTAAATATTATGAATGGTAATTGTCAAGACAAAATAATGCCATCTGTATTTTCAGTTTGGGAAGCAGCTAGTAAGACCTTTTATGTTACTAAATGAAGTTAAATCTCAGAAAGAGTGACAAAAGCAGTTTTTTGAAACAAATCTATTATTCATCACCAAGACTTAATAATTTCAGTTTCTACCAAACTTAAAATAAGAGGTCAAATGTGAATTATAGTCTTAGAAAATATGAAAAGCAGCTACTCTTATACTACAGGTAGCCCTGGTCCACAAAATTAGGTAGTTTTTTCCCATAGTTCTGTATAATATAAATAAATAAAACTTGTTTTGGGAAGCACAATTGTTAACAATTATATTCTAAAACATTTAGAAACTTCTCTTCATTTAGTGAATTTTATTAGGTCTTCAGAAAGGAATCAAAATTTCAAGTCTAAGTTTTTTCTTTATGCCTTAAGGCCACTCTGAGCACATACCTCTCCAAGGATTTCTAAAAGTTTTTTAATCAAACATTATCACATATGTCGTCTCCCACTTAGTTCCGCCACATTCACTGTGTATTCCTCTGTCTCACGTGCATGTATTAGACGAGGGTACACAAAGTCTAAAGTTATCGCTCCAGTCTCAAGACAGCACCTTCACAAATACTACTTTTAAAAAGTGGGTCACAGAACTATCAAGCTTTCTTTTGCTTCATTAAAGTATGTCTTCAATCCCCTAAAATGGAAGACTTTCAAAATCTACAGCCAAATAATTTTTAAAGCTTTAAAAATTGTGACAGTAAGTGCTTCTCCAGGGAGACGGTTAATATAAGGAACTAAAGCAAATCATCCTGAACATCTCCCATGAAGACAGTAATAGCAAAATAAGCAAAAATAAAAACACGTTACTTATAAAATGACTGCATTTAACTCTTTAAAAGGGGCTGAACATGCTAAGTACTTACTTCAAAATATATACTATGGCAATTTAGAACATGTGGATAAGAGCTTATCAACTAAACTTTGCCAGGGCTTTGTATCATTACAGGCAAATTAATGTAAAGAATTATATGAAATAGGCTACTGCCAAAAAACTTAGGGCAAAAACAAAACTCCAGAAGCAAAAAAGTTAAACTAGTGATTTATCCCACACAATAAAACTGCATACTGTGTAGCATTATGCATTTTATTTCTTTAAAAATGACAACTAGCCAATGGCATATTAACCTCAAAATAACTGAAAAATATTTACATTTCTTGCATATCTTCATTTTTATAAATTACTTTTCCTAACCACTTTTTAAAAGTAGTTGTTTAAGTAGTAAAAACTACAAAAGATTATCTTTGAACAATATTGAATTCGCTGAAAGGAAAACAGCATGTAGACAATAAGGCTACTATGCTGTTTTTACCTGTCGTGCTATACAGTTCCTAACAAACTTACACACGCATATAACCTTACATGTTATAGGAAACAGTAGCATTAAAGCGTCTGAGGGCCTGATGCATTCATGAGACACTTGAAATGTGGCAGGAAATAGTCCCAGTTGTTACACATTTGTCTCAAAACATTAACCTAACTACGAGGTAACACCCCTCTTGCTCCTGTACTAGAGGGAGCACTGAGGACTAGTCCACGAAAGCGAATGCACCTGAACTTCATCCCTGCAACAGATACTCTGAGGCAAGGCAAAAGAGTTAAATCAGTAAAAAGCTCTCTAGGAAAATCTAGAAACAGTTAGCTGGCTGTGACATAAACCTGCCAACACCTCAGCACACAGTGGCAAAGTGCCCAAAAAATGCCACCCTCTGGGTAAACCACTTTCTTGTTTTAACTTGAGATGAAGCTACCAGTTGCAGAAGAGAGGCGACGGGGGCATTATTTGGCAACCTGGGACTCACTTCCTGTAATCCTACACCGCGACAGAGCCTAATCAACCTGAACCCTGACACCCGGGCCATTATCACCGGGCCGCGGGCTGCGCGCGCCTCCCCGCTCCGGGCTGTTACCTCCCACGGCCTTGGCCACGGCGCCGTTGGGCCTCCCGCGGGCTCCCATGGGGCTGCCGTTCTGCTCCAGCCGGGCCACCTTCACCGGGGGAGGCCCCTTGACGTCGGGGCTGCCGCTGCGCCGGTCGGGGCTGTCCCGCAGACACGGGCTCTCGCTCCGCCGCTCCATGCTGCTCCGACTCGGAGACAAAGTTCCCACCGGCAGGTCGCAATAAAACGCGCAGGGACCTAGGGAGGGGGCGGGGGGAGGGAAAGGGGAGGGAAGTAAAAAGAGGGAAAACCGCTCACACACGTGATAGACGTTCAGGCCAGTGGCAGAGCGACGCTCCACAGCCACACAAACTTCCTCCCACGCTGCCAGAGGGGCCGGGGCCGCGGAGCGGGTCCCAGCCCTGCACGGGGCAGCCCGCGGGGCGCCCGGAGCCCGGAGAGCTGCGACTCGACCCGGGGGCTGTTCCCCCGGAGCCAGCCCTCGAGACGACGTCGGGCCCCGCGCCCGCGGACGCCGGGCAGTGGCCGGCCCATGGAAACAGGGCTGGCAGGGACCGTGCCCGGGTGCGACAGCTTCCCCGCCTGGGGGCCGGGGAGGTGGAAGGAGTGGACTTCATAAAAAGACATCTCATCGACTCAGGGAGGGAGTGGGGGCTGCACACGAGTCCGTGTGAAACCAAATCAGCCACATGATGCATGCGCAGTTCCCGGCCGGGCAGGAACCACAGGCCTGGCAGAGGGACCCCTCGAACCCCCGCGTGTTACCTTTACCGAGCCCGTCTTGGGGCGCAAACATCCTTTGCACAAAATCGACCCTAATTCCACTGTAATAAGCATCCAGGAACATTTGGAGGTATTCATCAGAATAACCTCCAGAATAACCTTCATCACAAGGGCGGGGACTACGATTGTTACGATTTTTGGAACTTTATCTTCGTTCGATCCTAAGTTATTTTTTAAAGCTCTTCGGTATAAAACAATAAAGTTTTTTTTTAAGCATTTGAGTTATTATTTGCAGGAGTAGCCTTCATCAACCCCAATTTTTTAAATCTCTCCAAAAAGTTTTCCTCCGGGTCGCCTGGCTGGCAGCGCTCCCCTCGCAGAACCCGCAGCCCTCCGCACCCCTGGATTTGCGGGGGCGGCGGCGGAGGGGCAGACACCTGATGGAACGGCGCCCGCACTGCCACCGACACCCCGGGGGAGCGGGAGCCCGGCGCGACCAAGTGCACTGGGGACCCTCTCCGAGAGGAGAAGCCGCCGCGCCGCGGCTCGGGAGGGCGGGGTGGGGGTGGCAGTGGGGAGGCGAGAGGCGCAGAGGCGCAGAGGCGCGGCCGGGGGGCTGCGGGCAGAGACTCCGCCCGCACCGCCCGGGCTGCGCCTTCTCCGCGGGCGAGAGCCGCAGGGAGGGAACTGAGCGGACCGGGGCTTCCCCGGACTCCCGAGCGCCGCGCGGGAGCCCTCGCCCCGCGTACTTACTGCTCACGGTCTGTCTGTAACTTGGCTGGCTGGGGCTCTGTCCATGGAGCAAAAGTAGAGAATCCAGGGTGGAAAGTTTCTGGTGCTTTGCCTTGCAGTGCTCTCCTAGTCTTCCTTTCTCTTTACTCCTTTCCCTTTCCTCTTCCCCAGGTCCTAACGTTTTCGGTCCTGGGTCAGGGTGTCTTCTAGTGCGGAGATGGTTGTTATGATGATGATGACTGGGGGGTGGGGGTGGGAGGAGGGGGAGGAGGGAGAGAGGGAAAGGAGGGCTCCTCCAAAGGGGCACCCGAGCGAGCGGGGGAGGGGACGGCGGAGGAGGAGAGAAGAGAGGAGGCAGAAAAAGCCCTTCACACCTTCGGAAAGGAGACCCGTTCTGGAGAGAAAGGGCTGAGGACCGCGAGGCAGCGGAGGCGGGCTTCGCTAGGCTGCTACCTCGCCAGGAGGCGCGGCCGGAGCCGCGGGGCCGGTGCCACCGACAGCCGAGAAGGCGCAGGGACCCGGGACCGCGCGCGGGAGAAAGCGCGGCGGCCGCCCAAGCTGTCACCTCCAGCCTCTCCCCTCTAGGCCGCCGCCGCCAGCAGCCGGAGCCAGACTCACTGACAAGCCGCAGAGAGAGACACACTGAGAGGGAGATGATTATTAGTTGCGTTGAGTCATCAGGCAAAGTGAGTCCTTTTGGGTTGTCCTCGGTTTCCGATTTCTCCCCCTCCCCCTTTCCGTCCCCAGATCTAGCGCCTTCAAAATAATAATTTGGGGTGGGGGCAGGGGAAGTCTCTGGATTATTTCGGGATGGCGGTTGGGGGGGAAAGATCTAAACCCAAGCCAGACTGGTCCACCGCAGTGGAGGAGCGCGGGGGGCGGGGAGGAGGGCTGGGGAGGTTGCCGGGGGAGGGGGGCCCCGCCTGGCAGGAAATTAAACATCAATCAATCAATCGCTGTGAGCCGGGCGACCCAACAGCGGCGGGGCTTCGGAGGAAGCAGAGGGACAGGCGAGAGGCGAGTGGGAGGCAGGGAAGAGGGAGGAGGCGGAGGAAGAGCAGAGTCGGCGATGGGAAAGCGGTGTGGCGAGGACCGCGCGCGCGGGGCTGTGGAGGACCGATGACCGAGCGCCGAGTGCCTGGCCGAGTGGTGGGTGCTCCCGGGTGTGAGCGCGCGCCGGGGCCCGGGGTCTGCTCCTCCTCCCCGCGGCGGGTCCAGGGTGCGGCCGCCTAGCCCGGCCCCTAGGCGCGCTCGTCCCGGCGCGGAGGCGGTGGCGGCGGCGGAGACGAGGCGGGCGCTGGTTGCCTCGTCTCCCGGAGGAGGCTCAGACCCTTGCGCAGGGGGCGGCCTCGGCTGCCCCGGCTCCGGGTTCTGCTAACTGCGCCGAGCACTTTCGACTTTGGAGATAGGAGGGCTACCGCCGCCCCCCACCCCCCGCCTCCGCCCACCACCCCCCGCCTCCGCCCCTCGGAGCAACTTTTCCCGGTGCCTGCGAGCTCCCCCTCCGCGCGGAGCCGGCCGTCCGGGCCCGCCGCACCGCCGCTCGCGCGGGGAAGGCCGCTTCTGCCTTAGAGCCGGCACGGTCGCGGGTCCAGAACAATAGCCCGAGTGCCCCACACGGCAGGAGCCCAGGCACTGCCAGCCGGGCTGTGGGTAGCGCAGGAGAGCGAGCTGTGTGGGGGGCGCGAGGCAGTGAGCATCCCTGGACGAAGTCCCTGGAGCGCTCGCAGCGCCGGCGACATTTCGAGCCTTGCAGCCCGAGCCGCCCGGAGGCCGTGCCGAGGTGGCGGCGAGGGCGGTGGGACTGCCAGTCCTCCGGCAGCGGGGCTGGGACTCCTGGGAGCCCAAGCGACTCGGGCCCTGGGCTCCGAGAGCGGGCACAGCTGCGCGGCGAGAACCCAGCCTCTCCGTCCCTGGGGAGGCCGCGCGGGGCGTCTCGGGCAGGTCCAGCGAAGGCGTAACTGAGCCACAAACTTTTGCCGACTCCCGCGGCAGCGGCCGGACGCAGCCCGACTCCGGCCGCGGGGCTCATTTAAGGTGGCACGGGCATTAGCCAGGCAGGCCAGGCACCGGCCGCGCTTTTGTCCCTTAAGTCCCGCTTGGGCGCACTACCTCCTTAAAGAAAAGCACGTGGACAGGAGCCGCGGCCCCAGCGAGACGCCTGGTGCGCCTGCTGACACTCCAGGTCCCTATCTGGAGCGAGGAAAATGTGGACGCGTCCCCGCTAGCCCTGAGAGGCCGGAGATGCCCCCTCAGCCGGCCGCACCTCCTGTCCCTCCCGGGCACCTTGGCTGTCCTTCCTTACCCCCAGGACCCCAAAGACACCCCACTACCTCGCCGCCTGAGCCGCCAGTCCCCCTTAAGAAGCACTGACTGTACGGCGGCGCCAGAGGGCCAAACTAAATTCGGTTTCGGGAAACGCTCTTCTCGGGAGGCAACTCTGGAAATTCCGAGCGGGTGCACCCGCCGCGGGAAGTCGCGTCAGCCCAGCGTGTGCCCCCGGCCTGGCCGAGGTCCACTCGCCGCACCCACCTGGTGGGCGGCGTTCGCGCGGCCATCACCTAAAAAATAGGGACCCGGGGGCGGGGGGGGTGGCGGGGGGCCTCTGGAGCAGAAAGGGTCCTGGAAGCGAAACCTGCCCCTGTCCCGAGTCTCGGCGCGCGGACCCCGGAGAGCCCCACACCCAGACGCCGCCCACCGAGTCCCGAAGGAGCCCGAGGACGGTCCGGAGGCGATCAGAACCCAGCCGGGAAAGGAAGACAGCAGGACAGTAAACCTTCTTCGGGGTGCCCGGGAGTTTCAGGCAGCGTTTCCTTTTCCCGAGTTTTTATTCCTCAAACCGCATTCCACCGCACCCACCGCCTCCCCAGACGAACCGGTCAGAGAAAGTGCACAGTTCAAGTCTGAGGAAAAAGGTGGCTCAAGTGATCAACTTGTGGTGGTGGCTGAAAGGGGTGTTTTGTTTTGTTTTGTTTTGTTTGGGCTGCAAAGAAACAAACTGTAAGTTTGATCGACAAACTTTCTTCTTTGTATGCACTCTCCCGTCGGAATGGGAAGGGGGTGTTGCAGACGCCAACGGCCGCCGTCAGCGTTGGGGCCAGCGTTTTCGGAATGGGGAAAGGCGCCTTTCCTAGTCACGGCTCGACAAAGATGATAACGCTCTTTATTTCCTTACCTTGCTATCGAACTGTAGAATCCTCCTCCCTCCGGATCAATGCCCAGGATCTTAGAAGAATTGGTGATATTGGGTCTTCAGTACTTCTGGGAGAGAAAAAAAAAAAATGCAAATGGTTTAGCCAGTACCTTGCATGTCTGATTCGCCACTATTATTATATCTGATGCTGGGAATGGTTGGAGCGCTTCGATCTTGAGTCGCTAATGAGCTGCTTTATCCTCGCCGCGGTGGGAAGGCCGCGCGCGCCGGCGGAGGACCGCGGCTTCGCCCGCCCCGCGGCGCGTGTGCGCAGCGCGAGCGCAGGACTCCGGCGGCGCGCTGGTCGCCGGCGCGGCCCTGCTGCGGACCGCTTTATGCTTTACAAAGTGTCAATGTTTTAGCATGTTTCGAAGGGAACTGTCGATTCTAAATTACTAAACCCCTAAGAAGGGCGATTTAAATAAAGTGTACAGTGAAGCACAATTAAACGGACATCGTGGCTAGTTTGTTTTCAGGTCCCGCGCCCTTTTAAAGTCGTTGATTTTCTCTTCATTGGAATTTTCTTCTGCCCGTTTTTGACAGTGGACAAATCTACCGTTTTGGGCAAAAGAGCTCAACGTACTTAAAATTACACTTAACAGAGAGGGAAATTTTGAATTATATGAATTACTACCAGAAATGTGTTTTGAATGTAGCTTTATGTTTAGTAACACATTTTACAAATTTCTTTCGATTTTAAAAAGGAGATTCCTAAGTTTTGTGATATTTGCCCGATGTGGGGTTTTTACCCCCTTAGGTTTTGTCCATAGTAAAGGCTTTTATGTTTCAAATTCCGTAATTCCATTCCTTTTTACTGCACAACTTTTGTATTGACCTTATTTCCAACCAAAGTAAACAATTGCTTCCAGCATGTTTAATTTTGACAATAAGAAATTTTAAGTAACATTTTTACTTTTCACTAGGATTTTCTACTTTTTAAAAGAGTAAAATAAATGATGATGATTCAAAAGTTTTGTTTGGTTTCGTTTCGTATTCCTCAAGTAGTTTATTTCCAAGCACTTTAAAAACAGAACCATCCGCAAGAAAAGAATTGGGGTTAGCTCCTTGCTAAGGAGTGATCGGACCCAGAACGCATTCTCGCGCGCTCCCCGAGGGGTGCTGCAGCCCTGGAAGCGCCGGCTCCACGCGGGGGGACCCTGGCATCTCTCAGCTTGCTTCTCACTGACGTTTTTGTCGGGAATCTACTCCAACTTGTCCCCCTTCCCCCACCCCCAAATTTTTTCATATGTATTTTAGTCAAAGGTCGCCTGTCTTTCATAATCGCACTGAGATTTGTTATTTTAAAAATCAACGGATCTTTACACGCTGGGCTTGAGTGCACGTTGTTTTCTGTTTTCATGTTCTCCCCTTTTCTCTCTTGCTCTTTTCAGGCCTTCTCCTTTCTTCTACGGCCTGCACTTTTCCTGACAACATTTCTTGTTTTCTGTCTCCGGACGCTGAGGTTTTTGCAGGGCTGGTTCACGACTCGGGCCCGCCGGCCTCCCCCAGGGCCCGCGCGGGGTGGCCTAGGCCCGGCCGCGCAGGCACCGGGCGCCGGGGCCAAGCCTGGAACTCCTGCTCTGGGCCGGGCCACCGCGCCTCCGGAGGCCCGGCATCCACAGCCAGGCTACCCAGGCTTGCAGTCTGGTCGCCGGGGAAGGAGTCCCTCCAGGCCGCGCGCAGCCTCTAGAGAACACTGGGAAGTTGGGCCGCGCCTGTTCTCCACTCCCGCACGCAGGCAGGGAGGGAACTGTGGGAACCACCAGCGTGGAAACCCCTCGACGGTGCCTACGTGCCCGGCCTGCCTCTGCCCCACTCTCCCCTCCGCCCCCCCACCCACCGCCCCGCTCGGGGCTCGCTCTGCTGGGGGCCAGAGGAGGGCTGCAAGGAATCCGTTTCTTTCACGTGAACCCCACACCAGCTCTGACGCCAATTTCCGCCACGAACTGTCCGGAGAGAGTTGGGCGACCCACATTTTCGCGGACCACTTAACTGCGTGGGGCCTGGATTGGCCATTGGATGCGCCAAGCGGACGAGGCTAGGCTCGGGGCCAGAATGACCCGAGGAGAACGAGCCCAGAAGGCCAGGCCGACCAGGGTGGGCTGGAGCCCTTTCCCAGATTGCTCCTGCGTGTCTGGGGCTGACCGGGGCACAGGGGGGCGGGGGACACTCACTTCGTTATCCGCACGCTTTCCTCGTTGGCACCAGAGCTGGACAAATCCCACCCCGCGCCAGGCCAAGATAAATTACTCCTGGCTTCTGCAGCGGCTCGGGGGGCCGGGGTGGGGGCGGAGCGGGGAGGAGGCCGTCGGGCCGCCGAAGGTAGGGGCGGTGGAGGTCCCGCTCCCCTCGAGGGAACGAGCCACGCGGCCTGGACAGAGATAAGTCCCAGGGAGACGGCTGACGGGGGAAGGGTGGTAAGCAACTAGACGGCGAGCCCAGCACCTCGCAGGCCAGAGGACCCAGGGGGTCGGGGAACAGACAATGCAGGCCCAGAGGGGTGCGAGGGACGTGCGAAGGCCGGGTGAGCTGCGGAGTCCCAGGTGGTGGCGACGAGAGAGGGCGACCAGAGGGACAGGTTTCGGAGCTGGGGGAGCCCCCGGGCCTGAGGTGTGGGCGCGCTGGGGCTGGGGCCGCGGCCGCGGGCGGGGAGGCCCGGGGAGACGCGGTGTCTGGGGCTCCGGCGCGGCTCCAGCGACACCGAACAGCGCCCCCGGGTCCCTCCCATCTTTTCGAGAGTCAAGAGCTTAATAGCCGGATCCCCTCCTGCAGCAGTGCAGCGAGAGAACGACTGCCCTGCTGATCCAGTTTTTTAAAAAATAGAAATCGACTTTAAACGGCCGGGGTAACGAGGCAAAGGGGGGACGAAAACGAAACGCCCAAGGAGCGGCCGCTGCCTCCCCGCCCCCAACGCGGGGCGACGGGGGTTGGCGCGGGAGTCGCGCTCCGGGCCCGCTGCGTGTTCGGGCGGCCAGCACCGGGCACGGCCGACGGGAGTCGGTCCCATCTCCAATCCCCGGGCCCAAGCGGGTACTGAAGAGCCCTCCATGGTCGCGGCCCCGTCACCCCGGAGCCCGGGTCACGGCCGGGGTCCCAGGCCGGAGCAGGGCGGTCTCTCCCGACAGCGCCACCGCGTGGGCTACCGCCCAAGCCGGCGGCTGCCGCTCGGTCCGCGGCGTCCCCGAGCCGGCCCTTCCGCGTGGCCCCCTAAAGATTCGGCGAGGGACGGGCAAGTCCCTGGCCCGGGACACAACCCGACCATCCAACACAAAAATGCTTGGGACTGGCACAACGTCGGCACCCTAAGTTTGCCCCAACGCCTGGCAGTGAAAAGTACACCTGGAAAATCCAGGCCGCGACACCCCGTCCGCACCCCGAACCCCGGGCAGGCCAGCCTGCTGGACTAAACCTAGGCCCCCCACCTCCACCACCGGGGCTGGCGAGCCCAGAAAGCCGGGTCCCAGGGGGTCCGTGCCTCAGCCTCTCTGCGGGTCTGGGCCAGCACCGGGCTCGAACCGCGCGGGAGGGAGTGGGGAAGCCTGCTGCGGAACCCAAGGCACTTACTGGGGCCGGGGACGAGCAGGTTGCCGGTGTGCTCGGCGGTCCGGACCCGTCCGGAGACCTACAGGGCTTTCCCAGGCTGGAGACTCCCTCTCCAGGAGAGCCTCAGAGTTCTCTTGGTCTCAAGAAGCCCCACCACACCCTCTTAGTCCTTCAAGGCTTGACCCTCGGGCTAAGGCCCAGGTGGCTGTGACAGCAGTGTCCCGGGGCTCAGTTCTGCCCCACCCCGTGCTGCCTGGCCTCCGGGCCCTGCGGCCACGCTCCGCTGAGCAGGCATCACCTCGCGCTGCCCCGCGCTCCGTCAGGGCCCGAGGGCCCCCACGTCGGGCTTGGAGGACAGCAGTAGGGTAGGCTGGGGGCTTATCCTAAATAAATTCAACTGTTCACAAGGTCACGCGCGCGCGTGCACAAACACACGTAGTTTGGGACTGTCAGCTATTGAAAGGGACAACGACCCAGAAAGGTATAAATTCACCTGGGGTCCAACCAATTACAAAGTTGCCAGCCCCGCAGAGAACAGGAGCCAGCCCTGGACGCCTGAGCGGCGCCCTCGGGAGGGCCCGTGGCCACGCTCCCCAGGGCCACGGGTTTGCTGCGCGCTGGGGAACCAGCCGCGTGGCCCGCCCGCCCGCCGAGTGCCGGCGCTCCTCGTCCTCTGGGCCTGCTCACCCACATCTTTGTCATTGGTGGCGACCTGTTCGTTTCTCAATTCCAGTACGCACAGGTCACGCAGGGCCTTTTCCAAGAGGGCCAGGCCCGTCGCTCCTGCCAAGTGGCTCACCTTCGCTCGCTGCTCCTGCCTCTGCCCCGGGTGCCCAGGACCGAGCGGACGCGGTCTGCTCACTTCCAGGAGCCCACAGAGGGTGCCTTCGGCGTCGCTCGTCCAGCCCTGGGGCTGATTTAGATAACTAATAAGCTCAGAGAAATTTTACGATGGCAACTTTTTCTTTTAGTATCAATAAAGCCAAGTAATTGGGTTTGTTGGTTACCTAAGCTCGAGTTTCCCAGCCTCTCTCTCGCTCCATCTTCTCTCTCTCTCCCTCCCTCCCTCCCTCCCTCCCTCCCTCCTCTCTCATTCAGAAGCAACGTTTTAAAAAACCGGCTATTCTGTGTGCGTTTGTGTGTGGTGTGCAAGTGTGAGCGTGTGAACGAAGTTTGTTTCAGAAGTCCTTCGGCTGCAGAACAATCAGCATTGCCGCTCCGTAGTGAGGAGTTTTGAAAGGTGAACTGTTGTTATATCAGAGGAGAAAAATGTTGACAACAATTCAAGCCTCACAATACAAGTATAATATAAAGGGGGGGGCGTGTAAAGATTTTTCCCTTCAGGATGTGACAAAGACATTTGCAGTACCTTCCTAATAGTTTTCATTTTAATTAACTTTCACTATATTTTGACTTCCACTCCTGGATTGTAGTGATATCTGTTGTTTTCAGTAGAGACTTCTATACTATAGTGCATTCTAAAGTTTTGCTTTTGTTTTCTAATCCTTTTGAAAGCATGTTTTTA